TATTCAGAATACGTTACTCTCATTGAGTAACGTAACGGAATACGTTACAGAATACATTTTGGGGCATGTATTCTGTATTCTGTAATGAAATACATTTTAAAAGTAACCTTCCCAACACTGTAATCTAGTCACACTTAATACACTTAAGGCCTGACGGTCAGTATGTCGAATTGAGGGAAGGTTGAAGTTAACATCTATGTTCACCCCTATTGTGAATAATCTTCACTTTCAACCGGGGATGTTTGATATAGGTTTTAAGGAATGGAAGAACAAAGGAGTTCACAGACTGAGGGACTTATTCTCCGACAATGTGGTTATGCCATTTGACCAAATGGTTGAGAAATATTCTCTCCCCAAACATGACTTTTTCCGTTATTTACAGATAAGGCATTATATCTTGCACAGTACTAACTTCAGTGAGAGTCATGAAGTCTCTCATGTTAAGAAATTATTATTTTTAACAGATAAAGAGGTACCTGTGAAGATATTTTCTACGGCTTTATATTCTGTACCTTCAGTGATGTCACAGAGGCTTAAAGGCACATGGGAAAAGGAGTTACGTATAATAATTGATGATGAATAGTGGAAACATGTCTGGAGTTATGCCAAATCAATCTCAGTTTGTAATCGTACGAAAGCAATACAGTTAAAAATCATACACAGAATGCATATATCCATATTTTGCAGACATCAATATAATCCTACCCTTTTACCCATGTGCATCAAATGCAAGACAGAAATTGGTACCCTAACTCACAGCCTCTGTTCATGTTTGAAATTGCAAGAATATTGGTCTAATGTGTTATCTGAAATGGAGAAGATTTTGGGTTGTAAATTGGAGATGGACCCTTTGTCTCTCATACTGAGTCTCCCCAGCCGGTGGTTAATATCCAAGAATAATAGGAGGTTGTATTGTATTCTCACCTATGCGGCGAGGAAGAATATACTACTCCAATGGATTAATGAAAAAGCACCAACTATTAAAGGTTGGAAAAGAGTAGTGTTGGATCTAGTGCCATTGGAATATCTTACATGTGTACTGCACTCAAAAACAGACCAATTCTTTGAGGTGTAGGAACCAATTATGTGGAACCTGATGTCTCTAGTATTATGTTACAAGGATTCTCATGAGTGTTCAAACTGCAACTGCAACGTACTACTGGGACCACAGGTATTGTACTGTATTGTATTCTTTATTTATTTTTTAGATGTATCTGAGCTGGTGTTTTGTTTTGTGTTTAGTTCTC